AGTATTTCTCCCAGGAGGTTTGAATGATTCCAAGTGACTCGTGCAGGCACAGGGGACAGGTGCTGCAAGGTCTCATTTACTTGTGGCATTGAAAAAATTAGACACAGGAACAGTGTAGATGGGTGTGGGAGACATGAATGGAGAGCGACGTGGTTCCAGGGGCCCTGACTCTCCTGCAGGCGGGGCTCTGACCTCACTGTATCATTGTGCTTCCACTTTCCCACCTCTCTTCCTTCTGCCAGTGCCCCTGCCACCCTTAAAAAGTCAGGGACCCAGGGATATCAACACAGGAGCGCCTGTGCTCCTGCCCCTCCTGTTTCCCGAGCTCCTGGCGAGACTCTTGTGCTGGAGGTGTGGGGCTGGTGCTTGAGGGGGTGCCTTTCTGTGTCCTCTACGCCTTCTCAGAGGCGCCCCCACCTGTGGGTGCTGTCACGGTTGTGCACTTGCAGCTCCAGATTTTAGTCTGCAGTATTTCTCCCAGGAGCAGCCTGGTTTGATACTTCTGTACTCCAGATGTGTTGTGTTATATGTATGTTGCCAAGTTTGAGACCTGGCTTGTAGGATGCCTGCCTTGAAGCTGTGATAATTTGGTGCCTGTGCAGATTCTTAATGGAGATGGTGGCCTGTTGATTTCACGTAAGAATCTTAAAAATAAGAGAAGAGCTTGACACAAGTAGATTAGTAACAGCTTTACCTTTGTTTTCTTTTTAAAGCCATTTTAGCCATTCCTAAATACTTTTAAATTTAACACTGTACACACAGTTTTTCAAAGTTTACATAACAGGGCTAGGGAGATGGCCCAGTGGTCTAAGCGCCTGTCTGGCAAGGCAAGGACCCAGGTTTGATCCCCAGTACTGCATGCCATGCTGGCCCTGGAACCCCGGGTTTGCCATGCCGGCCACTGAGAGGAGGAGTGGCGCGGCTCACACCTGTAATCCCACCACTGGGGAAGCTTAGGATGATCACTACGAGTCACAGCTGCGTAGCAAGACCCTGTACCGAATGAATGAATGACTTTTTAAAAAGTTTACATAACAAACGTGCTTGCACAGCATGGGCATCTTAGTTTCAGGAAGTGTGCCTGAGCACCTGGTGCATAGGGAAGGGGGGTCTGAGATTTTGGTGTCAGTGTGCTGTACCCCAACCTGTGTTTTGCTTGTTTGTTTTTGTCTCTGCAGGTGATTTTCAAAGCAAAGTCCAAATACTCTCCTGAATTGCTCCAATACCGGTGAGTACCCAGGCGATGCTCTCCACAGTGGAGCTGGACACGATCACATGAAGCCGCCTCCGCACCTCTCCCTCTGGGCTGTGCATGGGTTACTCCTCTGGGATCCCTGAAGAGTTCTGCTTGCCAGTTGAGAGAGAGAGAGAGAGAGAGAGAGAGAGAGAGAGAGAGAGAGAGAGAGA